CCCCCCCCCCCTCCCCCCAATATCTCTACGGATTTAGCATTTCTGTTTTGTGGCGATTTGGGGGGGGGGGCTTTTAATATAACTTGATATTTTCAAGAAAAAAATTTTGCAATTAAACCTCCCAAAACAAAACAAAACAAAACGTCTCTGCGGAGGAGAGTGCTAGGAAATAGTCGCAAGGCTTGGAAAAGCCAGCATTTTATCGGATTGTTTGCATGAAATCTATCGCTATTATGAAATACTCGGTGAAGAACAATTTGAATTACACACAAGATGGCTGTAGAGGAAGCTATGGAAGGGCATAATCTCATTATCAAGTAAATCAACCGCAATTCGGACATCAGAAACACAACAAATGCATTGTATTAACAAGTTACATGCATTGTATTAACAAGATATATTTTTTACATATACTGCTAATATTTTTTGAATTATTTCGTTATTAAATACTATAACGCTATTCAGTGGCGTAACGTTATATCAGGGGGCCCCTGGTTCAAAATTTTCGAAGGCCCCCCTAGTAGAAGTGTCAAAGGCACGAGTCGAGCGCCGTATATGCATGAAATTTCTAGGGGGTCCAGGGCATGCTTATCCGGAAAATTTTTGAATTTAGACTCTCTGAAATGCCATTTCCTGGACTTTGGGGAGAGATTTTACAGAATTCTGATGGTCATAAAACTACATTGTAACATATCAGAGGCCCTGACCAATGTTTTTGCTCTATTGCCTAAGCCTGGGGGCCCCATTTAGGTTGGGGCCCCCGGGTTCTCACGGTCTGAGCCCATAGTAGTTACGCCACTGACGCTATTAAACGGTTAAATATTCAAAATATATAGGACATTCAGAGATTGGGCCGCCTGTGATCAATCATGTCAAAAACGAATTTGCATTTTCCTATCATGAGCAATATATTAAGGGTGCCGCTTGGTGGTATGTTAAGACAAGTCCGGAATTTATTATGACACATTGTGTCTAAAGTTTGCTTAATTATCCGACCATGTTCTATGATCAAATATCTGCAAAAGTAAGCTGCCAAGATATTTTCGGGAGCAGATATTTCATATATAATTCTCGGCTTAAGTTTTGAATGTTAGAGGAAGACTGATCGATGTTACTGGTCTCAGAAAGCAATTCAATGCTCAGAATTTCAGCTCATAGATTAATTACCTGTTGCATGAAACTGCTCAATATAGGCTACTCGGCAGTAATGTTCTATACGATAAAAGAATTTGTTAACATTGCGATTTAAGTGAGGTTGGAAACAAACAGCACTATTTAATACGGTGCAATAATACATACAAGGTTAACTTACTGATCTGAGAGCATGCAGTCTCAACCAAATAAATCACTCGTTTTAATAATCATGATTTGTTTATGTACTGTTATTGCAATGAAAGACAAATCCGTGGGAACGTTATGCGACGTTCCCTGGAGTCGACACAATGCCATACGGTGCACGTAAATTGACAACGTCCTCGTAACATAAACCGAACGTTCTGATAACGTTCATAGGACGCACTGGACGTTCTTGTGCTACCTGGGTGAGAGTTTGGCAGCCGACAACGGCAACAGCACTTCAGCAGAAAACAAATTATTTGTATTCGGATGTAAGCGTGACAAAGCATACATTACAAACCTTTAATTAGTTGCTTTCTTTAACTTTATTTAAGTACGTATACGTTTCATTACAAAAAACCTTAATGCAGTGGCGTAACTACTATGGGCTCAGACCGGGAGAACCCGGGGGCCCCCAACCCCAATGGGCCAAATGGGGGCCCCCAGGCTCAGGCTGTAGAGCAAATACATTGGCCAGGGCCTCTGATATGTTACAATGTCGTTTTCTGACCATCAGAATTCTGTAAAATCTCCCCCCAAAGTCCGGAAAATGGCATTTCAGAGAGTCTAGATTCAAAAATTTTCCGGAAAACTCGTGCATATACGACGCTCAACTCGTGCATTTGGCATTTCTACTATGGGGGGAGGGCCTTCGAAAATTTTCAACCGGGGGCCCCCTGATATAACGTTACGCCACTGCCTTAATGGCTTAAGTATTGCAATAGTCAGCCGCAGTGAATTCACCATACTGAAATCGACACTCCCCACGACTTCGAACGTTTTCATTTGCTATCCTGATGCCGATCGACTGGCGTAGTTTAGTAGTTATGACTACGAGCCGTGAAAATTATGTAAAAACGTAGCAGTTTTAATACCTAAGGCGTACTAGAATGCTCAAGAAGTTACAATGGACAAAAATTTCATCACAGCTTGAAAGAGCATCACAAAATTTGTAATATGGAAAGTTTCGTTGTGAAATGTTGTAAAATAATATAGTCTTGCGAAGTTTGCCGTTTTTCAGTCATTTTGTATTACAAACGGGAAATTGACATACCCCAAAGGGTATATATTGGGCTGTCAATTTCCTCCGCGTAATGCAAAATGACTGAAAAACGGCAAACTTCGGAAGTACTCAGGCAGATATAGAGGACGAGGATTAAAATTATGGAAAACTTACCATATCGTGGGACAATTCCATTTTGCCTTCATATTGTGCCCTGAAGGCTAGTAAGTACGTTTCTGTATGTTGGCCGCGTTAAAAATTCTTGTGAGCTTCTGCCAACACGTTTTTCTTCGAATTTTGTATTAAACTCTATTATTATAGTTAAAAAATGTGAAATTTCTGATACATTTCTAATACAAATGACTTGCATCAATAGAAAGCTAACAAAAAACTACATATAAGACATTTAAATGTTTAGTTGGGATTTTCAGGTGGTTTTTGAGTTATTGCCATTTCAAATGGGAAAAATAAGCCATATAATACTGGGTACTAGTCTGAAAAAAAGCATTCAACAGCTCATAGCAGCTCATAACTGAAGAAGAACTTGAAAAACCCGGGTAACCGTTTAAATTTCTTATATGTAGTTTTTTTTCAGGCTTTCAAATGATGTAAGTCATTTTTGTTAGAAAGGTATTTGAAATTTCAACATTTTTAAACTGTAATATAGAGTGTAATACAATATTCGAAGAAAAACGTGTCTCTCAGTCCACAAGAAATTTTAACGCGGCCAACATACAGAAACGTACTTACTAGCCTTCAGGGCACAATATGAAGGCAAAATGGAATTGTCCCACGATATGGTACGTTTTTTCCTTCTATCAGAACGACAACATCGACATCCATAGTCATAGAGCTGTACACTACTACACACAACTGACCAATCACGAGCTATACTACAGAGCTTCCTTATAATGGACGTCAAACGCGGAACACAAACATTCACGTATGCGATGTCCCAGCCAATAAATGTCATAACAGCTTATTTGCATTGCGGATTATCGCTAAAAATTGTCGGACATTGAGTGTTTTCTCTCTGTTTGACGTCATTATAAGGAAGAGGTCTATATTGTATTCACGTAACTTTCACTTTTTATATTGTATTCACGTAACTAAATGCTGTGGATTATCCGGCAACCAGTAACAAATTAAATAATTCTTTCGAAACAGCGAGCTAGGTTGTCTTCACGAAGATTTCTGCGTTTCCTAATAGAGCTTTTATCCCTCCAGCTGTCATAAATATTCGATACAGTTCTCAAGATTTACACATCAAAACTCGCAGGGCAAATATCTTGGCATTTTAATTGTTATTTTTGTTGCTTCGTTTGCAAGGTCTTCTATTGCTTTAGCAACAGGACACTCGTTTACGAAGCAAATACGCATAAATCGTCAGAATTTGTCCACTGATTAAAGAACGAATGGACAACTGGCGGAGTCTTGTCTTCATCCCCTTCAACCGACAAATATATGGGAATTTTCATCCCGCCTTCTATGGAGTAGGTTGATTGGATCATTGTTGACACATTTTATATTAGTTCATAAGTAGAGTAATAGTATATATAGAGAATACTGTATTATGTACATTATTATAGAAATTAAATATCGGTACATTGGTATATATACAGCTATTTCAATTAAGGTTGTCCACGAGCAAAGCGGAAAAGTCGAATACGAGCGCGAAAGGCTGCTGGGAATCGCTTTGAAAATTCATTAATTTGTTAACGTTTCCCAGCAGCCTTTCGCGCTCGTATTCGACTTTTCCGCTTTGCTCGCGCGATCGTGGACAACCTTAATTGAAATAGCTGTATATATCGGATCAGTCAAGGGCAAATGTCCAACAATGTCCACGCGTTGATCTTGACGTGTTCTTCCTTAGGCGCTTGCACTCATTTCCCCAGGGACCAACTCAACAAAAGGCATGGCGGCCATGTTGGTGGTCCGTCCAGACAAAAGAGTCTCTAATCAAAATTCTTTTGAATTGGAACACCAACATGGCGGCTGTGACGTCATGTGCAAACGCTCTATCACACCTGATAAATATAAATTCATTTCAAATAAGGAGTGTTCACTTCTTCCTATAGACGTAGAAACTTGAGTTTGACGGCTTCCTTTAACGTGAGAATTCAACTTTTTCTTCATTTCAAGTGTATTATAAATATATCCATGTATCTAGAATTTTGTGTAGTCCTAAAGCTACGTTTACACGCTACGATTAGTCGTGTATGATTCGTATTCTGGCGTATTAAAATTAGTGCTGGGGCCATAATTCATTGCCGTTTCGTTAAAAAGAAATTTCAAATGTAGCCAGCTTACGCGTGTTTATCGATGCCATACGCCAGAAACGAATCGTACACGATTAATCGCAGCGTGTAAACGTAGCTTAATTAGTCGTTGTTATAGACTTATAGTGTAAACACAGTGTAAACACGGCTTTATATATCGCACATATACTAGTTCCCTCTCAGTTTTATTGTCAGGCTATTTTGAATTTTGATATGTTAGCAGTTTTAAAGACTGTTGGTAGATGTAAAGAGTTGCTTTTAAACAAATTTTGGTCAAACAAACAATGATAATAAACTAATAATAAAAAGTCCCCAAATCCTAGTAATTCATGACATGAATTGTCAACCTTGCAAGCCAAGGGAAATTACCTGGCTTGCGAGGTTGATGACAAGTGTAAGCAATAAAGCATGAGTGAAACCAGGATGGGAGTTGATGAGAGTCGGCAGTCCAGTGAGCTCCATATATAAACATCGCGGAAAAACGTCTGCGCATGCACCAAACTATGAAAATATGGCGGGGAATTTGAATATCAATTTCTAAAACAAAAACATGCTTATTAATTGGTCAAAAATTAGTAAAACAAACGAGAAAATATAGCAAATGGGTAGACTAGACATTAATTGAAAGCGTCCTGGCATTTAAAGCATGGAATGAAATAGAATTCATGTAAAAAATTGTTGATTTTAACGGACACGACTTCGAAAATTTTTGCAAAATTATTCAAAACAAAAATTCAAACTCAAAAGTTAAGAAAACTCTCGAAAAGTAAAGCTTCTTAACCCACTCAAATTGTAGAATAAATCCTAAAGTTTAATTATTGTGAACACGAAAATTTTTTATATTTGGCGACACAGTTTTTTTTAAAGAAATGTATCTCAAAAGAAAATTCGGAAATTGTCGTTGCTTAGTTGATAAACAAAATGTTTCAGACGATAAATTTGTCAACAATCACCTTTAGTTCATATTCTTGTACAATACAATTTCTTGAACCTTCTGGCTGTATTTATTCCTAGTTTTTAGAATGTCATGTTTATTTTTGCGCTCGAAATCTGGCTGTAAAGACGCACAATGAAGTCACTCCTTTTTACCGCCATTTTGAGCCTTCGGAAACGTTCGGAACAGCTTCTCATCAAGTTCGCAATACTATTACAGGTAAGGTTGACGCATGCGCAGACGTTTTTCCGCGGTGTTCCATATATATCTCTGGACAATTTGTCTGAGCATGCGCGAAGAAAATCAATATGGCGACATATATTAGGAGTGTTTCGTGAATTTATCTGGTTTTAAAGCTGATAAAACAACATTTTAATGAACGAAAACTTTGTAATATTTAGTGGAAAACATTAAGCTATGCATTCCAAAGGTTTTAAATTTAAAATAAGTACTTTTGCTTTATTTTATTGGTTTTTATGCTTTGAAAACAGGCAAGTTCATTTTTTGGCAAAAATCTAATCTAATATTTTACCCATCATTTGTTTAATCTGAACAGAAATAGATAGAACACTTGGCTATATGGCTATATAAGTTACAAAGGTATTGTTAGCTTATCTGAAAGATTTCAGTATTCCTGGTTAGTGGTACACATTTTAACAAAGAATGAAATGTAATTTCAAAAATTAAATATGCATATCACAAACAATAGTTTTTATTAGAACAGCACATAATAAGTTGTTATTTTCTATTTTTACCAAAACAAGTTTGGAAACAGGATTTAGTCCTCCAGCTTGATGTCATATTCCATTTATTTGGATATTTCAATAAAGGAATGTGAAATAATAATTTAATCTTGTGCAAAATTTGATACCAACACACATGTGAACAGATACTATCACCTAAAAATAAAAGAAAACAGAACTTAAATTTATCATCTAATACTATGAAAAAAATCTTAGATTCTACAGGCATATATATAGTGAGCACAATTCTTTAACAAACTCACTAAAATAAGTTAAGTTATACTATGATAAAAGGATGGCGATAGATAACAACATCAAATGTTGTCATCTTCAGTGTCCAAAAAAAGTGCCGCGCGCATTTTTCATGGTCGCATAACTGGTATTGCCACAAACCCAGGTGAAAAAGCAATTAGAAAAACCTGGTTTTGGGTGATGAGCATAGTCAAATTCTTGACTTATTCAATTTTCTATGTTTTTCAAGGTAAACAGATTAAACATTGAAATAAGCCACATTCGGGACCTCATAGAACCCAAACTATTGTGTATGGACCAGACTTTTTTCAATTTTCTGTGA